TACTAAAATATTTTTCTACACGATAATATGCTTTTCCTGCTCCCACTGAAGTAATAGTTCTTTTTTGCGGCCAATGTGTAACATAATTTTATTTTGAAATTTGCGGCGTTATAAAAGGTTTTTTAAATAAATGGCCATTTACCGCGCTAGCCAAAGATTTGAGCTTTCGAATGATTACTACTCTTATGAGAAGTTTCTGTCCAGCGAACAAAGTCGAATAGGTCGTTGTTTAGCGGAAAAGTTCCATCAGTTGCTTATCTTTTGTTGCTTTCTAGCACTGGTGTGATGTGGTACATATTTAATTGACAAGATTGAGTGTCGTCGCAAAAATTCAACTTCAGACAAGAGATGAACACGTATTTCAGCTATACTGGACCGTGCAGTTTCAGTACACCTCGAAGGCCTGTGGGTACCGCAGCGACCTCTCTATAGTAACTATTCCACGAATAATCACTATTTCTTTATCAATGTCTGTTTCCCGCATTGACTCTTGCCTGTGACTGTTGCAATTTAATTGAATCTTCTTACACATTCAGTTCAGGATTTCTTATGAAGTTATACTGTAGATCTATTTCTAGACACGATAACATTGCTTCTAGGTAAACATGATAAACATGGTATAAGCTGGGCATATATTCTAAGCTATTCTTGAACACGATAACTTCGTTTTCAAGTGAACTTGGTAGTGGCTTCTTTGTTGCATTCTCATCGTAGCATCTGCATTTTAACTTTTTATGCTTCTTACCATCGGTTGTTCTCCAGTAATCCTTTGTGCTCACACTTTTGATCTACTATACGGTTTCTTTTTTTGCTTTAAGAGACTGTCTGTCATCGGTCTATATATAAGTGAGCCAAGGATTCACACGACGCTGATTTCCTTTGAGTGCGTCTAGTAGAGAGTTAATTTTGAAGTGATCATCCATCTTAAATTTTTCCCACTCCAATATCTTCCCGGCAAGCTCTGAATAGGAGTGGGCGCCAGGTTCGTTACTGGTGGGGGCCTCGTTTGAATTATCATTCTTGCTTCTAGTGCTTTCTAGTTCATTTTCTGGTCCTGAAAGATTAGAAAGGTAGTCTTTTGCCTTGTCAAGGTGCTCCATTGTTCTAACTACATTTACTTTTATGCTTTGTTTCTGTTATTCTGATATTGAAGCCTGAAGCTCGGCGTTGTCTGCGATAGAAGTATAGCTGACTAGTGCTGTTTGGACACTGCCTCGATTATTTATAATGGCCGATATCGCTAGTTTAATAGAGTTTTTTTTTTCCTGTGGCGACTTATTCCGTTCATCTAGATCCGTCAGGGACGCTATACATAGGAGGTTTATCTCATCCTCGTAGGTATCAAATGAGGATTTGAGACGATTAACCGCTTTCGTCAACGTCCCATGCTTGAAGTGAGGGTGACTGACATTTCTTTTATCTGGTGTAGAAAATGACGTACTGGTTCGTAAGTCTATCGATGTGAAGATGTACGCGCTGTTCCTTGATTCTTTGAGCGCTGCTTGTTCCTTCAAGAACGAATTGGAAGAAGCAGTAGAATATCAGAATAGTGGTGATATCGTATATGACTTCTGTCAGTGAGGCCCAGCACCAAATTCTGCGTTGATCAACTAGCCAAGAGAGAGAGAGAGAAAGTGGAAAGTACTGCTTCTGAATTCGATGCGTAAGGTCAATGCACCAAATTTCTGGATTGTTCAATAGGTAGCTTTGGTTTAGTCTTCAGCACCGAAATTAACTAACTCGGAGTAGAATTTTCGACTTTGCACGACTTTGCCACACAGGATTTTTACGAAGAACAACTGAAGCTTGGAATATAACTGTTCATAGCAATAGTGACAATACAGTACAAGCAAGCTGACGATATACAGTTGAGCGAGTAGATACGATGTCGTACGATTAACTGGAATACTGGACGACAAAAAACACCCTACTCGAATCAGCGAGCCATTGCTCAGAGGAAATCAGCGGCCACTCCCCAAAGAAGCGTCGTGTGAATCGTTGAATCACTTATATACGGAGTAATAACAAACAGTCTCTCTAGCCGAAAGCGGGAGCAGTATCGTAGATAACAAGTGTGAGCACAAAGGATTACTGGAAAGCAACCGATGGTAAGAAGCATTAAAAGTTGCAAATTAGAGGCTATTATGAAAATGCAACGATGGAGCTTCTACTCTATTTACTTGGAAGCGATGTTATCGTGTCTAAGAATAGCTTACAGTATAAGGCCAGCCTGTACCATGTTTACCTGGAGGCAATGATATCTTGTTCAGAAATAGACCTACGGTATAACTTCATGATCTTGAACTGAATGCGTAAGAAAATTCAATCAAAATGACAACAACCACAGGTAAGAGTAAATGCAGGAAACACACAATGATGAAGAAATGGTAACTATCGTGGCAATAGTTACTATACTCTCTTTCATAGCTCTTATATTTATGACATATACATCATTATTTATGACGTCATACCGCTTCTATAAAGCAGTAAGAAATGGAGATTTAGTATAGATTAATTTGATAGGTTTCTACATGTGTTTTTTATTTTAAACTCTTGTTCACGTAGCATTTAACTGCTATCATTACCATGCTCTATTGCATGGATTCCAATAAAATTCTTGTAACCAACATTTGTTTCGTAATATTCACAACTTGTGCAATTGAAGCCTCAAGTAACACTCCTTCCATATGACTTATATTCATAGAAAATCAACAATCTTTACAGTTCACATAATTGTTATAGCATTTCTTTTGACTACTACTGATAATATTTAAATAACAAAATTTACTACAATGATTGCTTTGTTTTTTTCTCGTCTCTAAGGAACGCAGAAATTCCAGTCTTAAATTTCTGCAAGAGCTTTCTGGCAATCAGCGCGACATGTCGATTTTCTTGAAATTTCTTTCAAGACGTGCTCACTCTTTTTCGCTCCTTATGACCTCGACTATTCTTCTCGCGGTTTCTATTGGATAAAGTACTTCTTGAGTGCTTTTCTATTCTTCATGAATTTGCTCATCAGACTGATTTTCTGGTACTTTTCCGTCAGCTGAGTGCCACTTCGAAGCCTTGTAAAAGCGCATTTCTTGGTCTTTTTCAATGTTCAAATAGTCGTTCAATAGTACACATCAAAAAAAAATTGAAAAGTATGTCCCACCTCCAAAAAAGCGCTCTTATGCGCTGAGAGAGCAAGAATGAATTTTTGTTCCTCGATGAAAGATTTCTCGTCGACCAAAGCATTTCCCTTGAACTTTTTGTAACCGATCGATAGAACGAGCCTTGAGGATTCCAATGCTTACTTGGTTTACATCATGAACCCAGTAACCCAATAACCAATGACCCAACATCAATATTACTCTGAAACAGTCAAAAGAAGATTGGGTTTCGCAAAAAATGGATCACTTCAACTATTCTTTCTTCACTTCGATCCACTGGAAGAATGTATTTTCTGATCGCTTCTCGATGATTGAATGATCAGTCGATAGCTCAAATCAAAAGAAATCAAATGATGCATTCACTTAGAAAAAGGCCTTGTTATTGCGGTGAAAGAGCAAAAATAATAATTTGTTCTCATTCAAAGATTTCTCGCTGATCAGGGCCCCTCTCATATAGTTTCAAGACCAAACGATAAACAAAATCTCACGAATTCCAATAATGCTTTTGATTTCTTGAACGGGTTTTATAATGCTTAATAACAACCAAAACAAAATTGGACTTCGCATCCAATGGTTTTTTCTAGTTTTGCGTAGTCCAATCTTCTTTTGGCTATTACAGCGTGATATGAGGTCGATATTCGAAATTAAATGGATTGTTGGAATTGTTAAGGTCCAATCTATCGATTAGTAATAAAACTCTAAAGGAAAAGCTTTGCTCAGCGAAAAATCTCATACTGAGAAACAAGAATACATTTTTACTTTATCAGCGCAATAAGAAGGCCTTTCTGAGATGAAATACATCACTAAAATTTACATGATCTGAAACACCAAATGGCCACGTAGACATTGAAAACGACTAGAAAATACTTTTTTCAAGGTATCAAATTGAGGAGCGGGTAAAAAAAGTGATCCACTTTTGCGAAACCTAACTTTCTTTTGGTTGTTACAGCATAATATATGGTCTATTTTCAAAATCAAATGAATCATTGGAATTCTTAAGATTTAATCTATCGACTGATCATTCAGACTCCGAAGGAACGCTTTGGCCAGCAAGAAATATTTTAATGAGAGACAAAATACTGTTTTTGCTCTTTCAGCGCAATGACAGAACCCTTTCAAAGATGAATTTTACAGTTCAAATTCTTTTGATTTGGGCTAACCAACAATGGTTTAGTCGTCAAGAGCAAGCGCGAAATAACTTTTTTTTCTGTAGGGTCAAAGTGGCGCTCAGCTGACGGGAAAGTACCGATTTTCTTTGGAAGTTGTCTTTCACCCTAAGGAACACTTGTAGAGCCAAAATTTTTGTCGAACAATGTGGTCCTAAACTTCAATCCCACACGACATAGTCACGAATGAAAATGTGAGTATGGGTTTCTACCCATGCCCACAAATTTCATTCCAGGTCCATTTTTCTAATAAACTTGATATTCCGCATTAAGTAGACGTTTTCTTTTTGAAGAGACGCAAGGTTGTCCATGGTAGGTTCACATATCCAACAACGTTGAGGAATATGCGAAACTCTAAGCCTCTCACGGCAGTTGAATCCACGTCTCTATTCATGTGACTCGTGTTAACCACAGCGCTACTGAAGCTAATGTTCTTCTATTGCTTTTTTGCAGTTGAAGATATCGATTTTGTCCGCATTCAACAGTTTGGCCTAGTAAGTACATATCGGCGCTCACCTGTATCACTTGTCGTCCCGTGATGGTCTAGTAACTCGAGTGGGCATCAGCAATACTTCCACTTTTCCCTATAGCATGCAGGAGTGTAGCTAATAAGGGAGTGGGGAGCAAAAACACGGCCTAAAACAAAGACACGATGTTGAAAAATGAGTGATGGCGCAAATGTGCCTCGGTGGTTTAGTGGTACAGCACGCGTCCCTGGTATGGATGGAACACGAGTTCGATTCCCGCCTGAGGTCGTGTTCTTGCACACCACTCAATTCTCTTAGGTCTCATATACAAGTCATTATAACTCCGAAATGCAGTAAAAATACTAGGAATTTCGAGAGATAATTTCCAGTAAAATTTGCAAATATTTGCGTAGAAAAGAAAACTTTATAGTTTTATTAAGGGACTTCAAATTTCTTGGAGCACATAAAACGTGATTGCTTTCGTCGAAGCTCATATTTCAAATATCGAAATAATTTATCAAGTGACATTTAGTTTGCAAAAGCAGTATAGTTCCCAAAACTATTCAGTAACATTTCTGACGCCAATGTTGCCTTTGATGACTTGAAAATTATTAGTCGTTCTGAACTTTCAAGATTTGAAGGTTAAAATAAAACTCAAGATGAAAATAACGGTTCGCAAAACCTCCGTACAGCCATAGATCGATGGAGTAGTGACTATTCTATGAATGTGACGAGCCCACAACTGCTCAAGTCATCCACTTACCTGCGAGTTTTTCGAAACCGCCGACGGGAAGCTTGGTTTATCGTGTGTGAAAAGAGATAAAGCTCTCGGGATTGGGAGGATTACACCATGCATTGACTTTGTCTGGCATCGCTTAAGGTGAGTGAACACATATCTGGCCTTTGAAATGATTCTCGGTGACGATCGATCTATCAAGCCAGTATGTCTGTCATTTAAAACCAATTTTCTATCAATTCGCCTATCACAAAAAGCGAAGGCATGGTGCATGTTCTGTACGAAGTCGAGCCGTCGACCACGTGTGCCAGCAGAGCACCTCTAACCACTGTATCACATGCACCTTCAATATGAATCAAGTACATGATATGAATGTTAGCTAACTTTTTTTAGTTATTCTACTTCCCACTGCTGTGGTTCGCGGCTATTTTATATCATGATCATGTCTTTGCAAGAAATATCAGTGAGTAACTCACATAATTTGTGTTTTTTTTTCACAGCCCGAAAAGAGGTCCTTGCTTAGAACCTAGTAAACCAAGTACGTGAATATCCTGAATTGAAAAAAGTACCGAACCTAAGTTCCAATCGCTTCAAAAACTTCCACAAAATTGTCTGTACAGAGATCAACTGTACGAAGTTCACATGGACAGGCGCAGAGTGTTTTACCCGTTTCGTCAATGTAATCCTCCCAGCAAGCTTTGTAAGAGATACGTAAATTGTATCCAAACTCATACAACTGCCGTCTCTACCGCTATGGCATATTATCCAGTTTTGTGTTGTGCATAGACGATCATACAAGTAGTTGCGAGCTGGCTGACGTTTCAGAGGCGCCGGTGGTATCTGAATCATTGTTACCGAGTTTTCTAATCTTGCTCTTTCCAAGTAGAGGTTTTTTTGTACGTTTTCCATTTGGAATAATGGGCAAAACAAGAGCTTTCTTGGCCTGACTTCTCCTCCAAGCCTATCTCAAGGAGAAATGGTTTTGCAACCAATGGAGTTGGCTATTCGTCAGTCATTTTTGAAGACTTTACCTTCCAATTTAGTCATGTACGCATGCCGGTGATTGTTCATATCGTACCTTTTACAAGCACCATTTGCCCATATAAGGACGTGAGGCGAGGTAATGGAGCGGCATATTTGTTGCTCTCACCACCATTTGATGGTACGGTCTTCGGATAAGACAATTCGAACGCTCAGAGATGTCAGCCACTTTTAGACACAAAGGCAGCAGCAAGACTTGGGACGAATCGCTGCTTTGATCTTTCCTCTCTTTCGTGTTAAGCAATCAGTCCAACTGAAGACCAGTTAGATCAAACACCTTATTCGAAAGAGCCGTAAGGTTCTTACTTTGCAAGCAATACTTATTTTTAGCTTTCTGGTGTTGTATAAGGAATTCAGAAACAGCTTGCATAGTTGAGTAATCCAACATGTTTGTCTGAAGTTCGATAAGGACTCAGGACTGTATAACACGTAGAGTGTGTTTAAGAAATTTGCTGTGCAACAGAACCAAACCTTGGAGTTTACAACAACTCTCGCACGTTTGTAAAAAAAACTCTTGAAATTCCGCATTATCACTATCGAGTAAAGAACTTTTGCTCCAACTTCACCGAAGAATATGAATTTGGGCAGTTGTAAGCTGAAAAGGTTCAAAAACATCAGATTAGTCATGTGTGATAAAAGGAAATTTGTAGTAATCTTGCTTAGCTAGATTTCGAGATTCGAACCACTGAGTTAAGATGGCAAAGAGAGTAGATTGAAAGCCATCTATTATTCCAAAGCTCAAATAGGAATTACTAACATGGCTCTTCTTGTGCTTACTTACAAATCTTATAATTTAGTATCCATTGATGATCCTGTGTCTGTCAACCCATCACTATCAAAGGTTAAGGGTGACGTAACGTCAGTTGCGTCAGTGGACCTAAGCATAGATTCCATAGCATTTAGCGTCAATAGCTCCAACTGCTTAGGCATTTTCAGCTCATGTTACAAATATTTAAATGGCCTTGGATCGCCTGCTTTGCACGTAATAAAGTTCTTCGATCTGATCGCCCTTTATACTACTATGGCGAATGACTGTGCATTGCGAGCCATGGGCGAGTTCTTATACAGACCAAGAGGCAATAAACATGTACGGTTTGGTGATCCAGCAGCTCACAGCTCTAAAAGAGTGTCTGAACTGCTTAATCTACAAATGAACCGAAAATTGCTTCAAAGGAGATGGACAACTATTTCGAATTTCAGGGCGTAGAATTGAAGTACTTGAGATATAGTCGTGAGATATAGAAAGAAATCTGAATTCCATTTCTTTATATCCAAATCAGCCTATCCAAAAAAAAACGGAAGCATCAGCAAGTGCTGCCAAAGGCAAAGTACTAAAGACATAGTGGTTCATCGTCTCTCCTCTTGTCCTTCACATGTAAAAAGAGGTACAGTTGAGGACACTAGCTTGACGAACAGACGTTTCCACTGGCCATGAAAATATAGCTGCTCGGAAAAAGTCTACAAAAAAAAACATTTTCCAAGCGAATATTCTGAAAACAAGGTCCCCTCTATGCTGCCTTTCCTCTGGAACGATATAAGTTAAGTTATGAAGCGCTGACTGAAATGGGCACGTTTAGAGAGGCTGGTAGGAATGGTTGAAATTCCACCGCATGCTCTGAACCGCCAAGCAGTTTACAACCACTCGTATGACAATCTATTCATAATAGAAAGTTGTATAATATGCTTTAATGGTAGAGAAGGAAATTGTAAAAATCCACACAATATACCTTTATTTCGAGTGTTTTATTGGGACCACGCTCAAATTTCAATATATCTCATAATTATTATTTGAGCCAACATGTCATGTGGTCTGGTAATGCACTGTAGTACAGCCCGATGCACGCCATTACCATACCATATGACATGTTGGCTCAAATAATAATTATGAGATATATTGAAATTTAGGCGTGGTTTCAATAAAACACTCGAAATAAAGGTATAATATAATAAAAATACCAGCTAAGAAGCAATCGAGTGTACAGCACTGAAAGTTCGGTGGTAATTTCACTTGACTTACATTGTAAATCGCTCGTCGTCACTACCTCTTCATAGGGAGGGTAGGGCACCAGAGAGGATTGGCTAAAAAGACTAAAAGACTAAAAGACGGATTCTGCCCGACTGATGAGACTGTAAGGTCGAAACACGTGTATCGGGCTGTACATGAGCCCATAACCAGACGACATGACATGTTGGCTCAAACAGAAATTATGAGACTTAAGCAATATTTATCAACGCTTACCGGGGTGATTACATTGGTGAGAAGGAAGAACACTCTACGCTTGCATAAAAAAACATCTCTCCGACAAACATAAAACAATACCAGGTGCCCATTAAGTGTTCATAAGATTCAGAGATATCACGGAAAAATTTTGAAATAAAAATAACCAATCTCGTACAAGGTATGAAACATCAGCGCCTATTAAGAACACGGAAATGAGGGAAGGTTTGTGTCGTTATCAGGCGTGATATGACGCGATATATAGGACTGATAATTCAATGTGAGAAGTGAATTTCCAATTCATACTAGCACCTCATAGCAAACGACGAGTATGTGGGAAAGTTGTTGTGCTTCCACTGCCATTGGAATATAGGTTCAGAGGTCATCCTGCAAGGATTATAGATATATCTACTTGACTGAGCTTAGATAAAGTGATCTTCAGTTATCTTTTCTGGCTTTGAAGAAACCGAAATCCGTCGAAACGTCAGAGGTGTAAAAACAATGGGCAATAACAACCTCGGTTTGACTTATCAACAAATAGCTATGTTAAACTTTTTTTTACTATGGACACAGACTTGAGACCTCGCGCAGGAATCAATGCTGCACTCAAAAGACAAAATTTTCTGTAAAAAAAAATCCTGAACTATCATCGACATCAAAAAAAAAAAATACTTATGAGTGACCTGATTGGATCAGGTGCTCGAATACGGACTTGACAGCTCCCTTTGAAAAACTGTGGTTTTTCCAGTATTCACTTTTGATCGATTGACATTACTTAGTGGAGCATTTGACTGAGAAGCGATAGCAGTGAACATATACGTGCTGCGCACGATAAGACATCTTTTGCGCAATTGAGGTTTTCCAATCAGGAAACCAAATTTGTCAGAAATTTCGTCGTCTTGATGAGAATCTAGTGAACTCGTATGAAACATCAGCGATCTCTCGTCTATAAAAAGCGAAAATCAGAAGCTAGTTAAGAAGGATTAAAATTTGCCTTTTCTGAAAAACCTTACGTTTTTGTTTTCTTCCTTCTTTTGAACTAACTTGTTGAGTGATGAGATTTGTTGCCGCTCTATGTAGTTGAGATCTGTTCAAAAAGTCTAATGTTTATTCTTCAAACACTCTTTCACCAGTGGCGCTGCTTGACAACATGCAACTCTTCCACTCTTATTAGCAATTACCATATCTGTTGACCCGATTTCTTGAGTTGTACTTTCTTCCACCACGGATAATTAGTTCTAGCTTGAAGAGATTTTCTAGATGAGATCTTTGTGAGAATTCCGCTGTTGAATG